TATTCGTTGCATGCCGCTAAGTAAACCAATGAAATATTTCGTTTCGTACGAAACAGACACTGTCATTTGCTTGTTTACTTAGCTGCTTTCAACAGGTCGAGCCCATTGTCTTCGGGTAGGGTTTATCATTTCCCTGTCTTTTACTTGCCCCTATCACACTGTTGATTAATTCCGTTTTATATGAATTCCATGTTGTACGAGTCACTTAGATTTTACAAATACGTGTGCCGGGCTGTGAACGGCTCACGTATTTGTAAAATCTAAGTGACTCGTACAATATGGAATTCATATAAAACGGAAAAATCAACAGTGTTATAGGGGGTTCGACTGTACTTCCTTTGTTAATTAAATAAATACTTTTGTTAAATTTATTACTTTGTTTCCCATTTGTGACATGCCATAACGAGGAAAAATTAACAAAAAAGTAATAAGTAGATTTAAAATTAATAAATACAGATGTATTCTGACAGTTTATGTGTTAATTATACTTTCTATTTGCAAAATTTCCTGTCAACCTTAACACAAAATAAGAAAAAAAATGAACTTTTCAAAAATTTGCGGGATTTTCCAGGATAGTTCCCGTATTAAAAGAACAACCGGGATCTCGGGATCTCGTTTGAGAAATCCTAGTCTCATGAATGGCGCATTTGTTAATTAAAACCTGATGTAAAACACCTGCATTAATTAATACACTAGTGTTGGGTATTGCATAGAATTAATTTATTTCTACTTATTACTTATTGTGACATCATCACAATGCCAGGCAACGATTCTTAATCATATTTCTATAAAAAAAAATTACGTGACTTCCGGTCCGGATCGGAAGTTCGTATATAGTTACAGCTTATGTAGAGCGACCTCCTGTATGTACACTTAGCACCATCTGTTGAGGAATAAAACAAGTAAATATATATTCTTTTGTACCACTTAGTGATAAGTTCACTTATTTTTCCCTTGACAATTCTTGCATTTTACAATTGTCTGGAAAAATTTCTAAGTTTTCTGGCCATGGGCATGTAGATTTATCGTGTATTTTACAACTCCATTTGCCTAGAATATTAAGAGACCTCAGACTTGTGTCCTATCCATAACCTAACCCTTTCCTGTTCCACCAAATAATAATAAATTTAAAAGCACGAGATTTAGATTAAGAAGAACAGTAGCTTACTTAGATTAGGAAGAAATTCGGGCCTAAAGACTCGAAACGATTTTTTACATGTAAAATGAATAAGATACTAAGCGTGACTGTATTAAATTGTGTTTAATAATTATCCAAATATTTATTTAAATTATATTGTGATACGAAAAAGCCCTGTAAAGTTCTATAACTTAGGGCCTCCCTGAATAAAATTAAATACATTAAATGAAAATTTACAGATAAATGCAAGTACAATGCGATTGTTAAAGACTTGATTGTTCTTCAAGGTGTTCTTCACCGTTTTCTTCGTTTAATTCTTTGCTTTACGAATTAAAAAATAGAAAAATTAGCATTAAAAAAAATAATTTACTTTCTTGTCAATATTACANAAAAAAAATGTTCTTAAAGAACAGAAAACTCAAGAGCTGCTGAAAAAAGGAAGAAAATCACAAAAACAGGATCCAAAAAAGGAATAAATCTCACGAAGAAGAGAAAGAATTTCAGAGAAGAAATTTTGGAAGAAAATAATCGATAGAAAAAACTTCTGATATAGGAAAATCTGAGTGAGAGCTCTTAATAACGGATAAATATAATAAAAGTAGAAAGCCAGAATAATCGATTTGCACACGTACAAACTGCGCATACGTATCGAGTGAAATAGGGCAGTGTCCTATGTAAATCGAAGTGGAGACCTCCCACCAGCATCCCTTTTAATCATATAATAAAATATATAACTGCTTTTGAGTAAAAAAAATAAACACAGAAGGAGGAGAAGGTTGGCTACAATAAGGAGGATATATCGAGTGCGTAGGCATAAAGGACGTTAACCCTGTATCCAGGATCTATAAGAGGCCATGTTAAGTTAGCTTTTAATTATTCTACATTGATTGTTTCTGAAAAGGAAAGTCGTGTATACATTGATATAAGAGGCCTTTGATAGTCTACAGACGAATTTCAATGTCGTTACTTCGTTAATGAGCTAAACCAGATTGGAGCGTCGTTATAAACGGGATGTAAATTTCGTTTTTTTTATTATTATATATATATATATAATAGTGTACACGCAGTATTGAAGTACAGGTTTCGTGTTTGTGTAGCTTTAAACTAGCGTAGGGATGCACTTTTTATAAAGAAGGGTGCACTATTGTGAAGAGGAAACTGAGCTGCTGATCTTCTCCCTTAAAAAGCAGCCACTTTAGAAAGAAAAAAAAGGGGGGAGACTCAGAGAAAAAGTCCCTGACAATAGTAAACTTCGGGCTTCTTATATAAGAAAGTTCAAATTTGCATTTTGTTCTTGAATTACGAGCAAAATATAAAGATTTTCACGCGGAAATATTCGTTAAAACAAGCAAAAAGTGCACTGAAAAGAGGGAGAAGGTAGACGTAGTAAAGGATAATGACGTAAGAATTAATGTAATAGCCCTCCCGCCATGTTATCGAGGAGTGCTTAAAGATCTATTTTTGATGCTCAAGGGCCTACTTTTCCTTCTATTTTACAGAAAAATGGATCGAAAGATGAATGGAAATGGGTACAAAGCTTAAATCGAGAAGGTAGTAAATACTGTATAAAGGAAACAGCAGGCTCCAGTATACGAGGGAAAAAAGGGGGCAATATTGAACGAGAAGTTGGGCAATAAATTTGAAAAATGAACAATTAAATCTCGAAATAGAAATTAAACTAAGCATTGGGAGCTATTAAAAAGTGCGTTTTGCTTATTCTTACCAGATGCGATCGTTTGTCAAAGTACAAAGTTCAATGCTACTATAAAGTAAACAGATGTTAAGCTGTGTGAAGTGCAATATAAAGGATATCGCGACATCGAACTCGACAAAGTGTCGTTTTTTTACGAAATATTTTACTAAATTTCAAGAATTCACTTCATTCGCAAGCTTATATGATAATAAATTCGTGTGACCATTCTGTTTGCCGCTCGAACCAGAAAGAGCCGGTAAAAAATGGATAATTTTAGATAATTTTTAAAAAATTTATTTATTTAGTGACTCATTATGATGCCCGTGTAACTGTTTTATTTAGAATTTCATTCTATTTTTGAGAATTAAAAACGGGACAAATCCGGAACGTGTAAATTCACCCTAAAATCTGTCTTATCCATTTAAAATCATAGAGAAAATATTAATAAGTGTGGGGAAAATATAGGGAAATATTGATAAATACAGGAAAAAATATAGGGAAATATTGATAAATGCAGGGAAAATATAGGGAAATATTGATAAATGCATGGAAAAATATTGATAAATGCTGGGGAAAATATAGGGAAATATTGTTAAAGGGAAAAATATAGGGAAATATTGATAAATGCATGGAAAAATATTGATAAATGCTGGGGGAAATATAGGGAAATATTGTTANCTTTATCAGAATGTTTTGCCAAACAATCTGTCAGATTATCCATCAGGCTATTTTAAGCTAATAAATAATTAAATACATCTCAATTTGGCTACAGGTACTCAGTTCTTTAATAATGAAAAAGGCAATTTTATTTAGATCTATATAAATTTTTTCAGCTATCAATTATGTTATAATTTTGCTTTAAATAGAATGAACTTTATCAGAATGTTTTGCCAAACAATCTGTCAGATAATCCATCAGGCTATTTTAAGCTAATAAATAATTAAATACATCTCAATTTGGCTACAGGTAGACAGTTATATTACCATCTCATGGTAAATTTAATAATTAGAAATATAAATTGCTGAACTCATCCAAAAAACATAAACCATAATTTGGCTCCTATGTTTATGAAACCATGTCATATTTATTGATAAAAAATTTAATTTAGATGGTCCACATACTGTAAGTTTTCCCAACTGCATAAAATAATGTTAATCCAAGTGCTATCCTTATTGAAATACTTAGTCCAGATGAGTCACGACATCAGTCACATTCACTTTGGAGCACTAGAGTAACTTAGAATGTTCTACTTGCCATAAACCACACCGAAATTAAATCTGGATCCTCCTGGGTAAACTCTGCTCTCTTAAGATGATGCCAACCTGAACTGTTTACCACTTTTAGAGTTGCCAAAATGAATGGCTTAGGATGCACTGATGTTCCAATCTGAATGCAACTGTTAGGACATCAAAAAAGTTTTCTACCAAGCAACAATTACTTAAAATAATGTAAATCTGCTTTTTTTTTTCATCTGTTGTTGCATCTGTAAACACTAAGCAGACCTTCAACAGAATCATTGAGTTTAGCTAGATTAACAATAAAGCGATGAGTGAGGCAATTAGATAACTTCTTCGAGTGGCAAAATAAGTGGTCAAAAATGTTCAAATGAGAAGAATAACTAAATACAGTAGTCTACATTAAAGTTATTTATAAATAGTTCATAAAAGAGTTCATAAAAGAGTGCCAGCAGTTGAAGTGCTGGCACTCTTGTATAAACTATTGGCCACATTCTAGAAGCAGGAGTAGCAAAAATTGATTTTGCTTCAGTTGCAAGACTATCAAGCTGATAAGCTATATCTAAGTCCTTCCTTTTCATTTCTCAATTCTTTTTTCCTTTTACACCCTAAAAAGACTTTTATTCATATCCATCATGGATTCAGCTTGGCACTCAAATCACATGGCGAGAGATGTTATTGATGGTATCAGGGGTTAAACCACTCCGAAAATTGCTCCAGACTTAAATCCGAGGCTTGACCATCTAAGTATCATCATCATCAGTGAAACATTACTAATTATTTGACCCAAATTCAAACCCATGAGCCATTAAACATATGTTTTAGCCATCTTACCTGTTCAGTTATCAAATATCATTCTAACAGAATCAAAACTAGGTTAATGTAAATCTCCTTATCTACGAGTAATATCAATAAAGTAATTAATTTTGCTTACCTTAATGCTATGTTTATACTGGTAGACATCGAATCCCTTTCTTTCGGGATCTCTCCTGGCTTTACTGAATAAAATTAAGTCTTCGAATAAAAAAAGATGACGGAAGGACTTTTTCGATCTACCCTGCCATACTAAAAATTCTTCCTGTCGTAGAAGTCTTCCTTGTTCTTTCACATTAACCTAATAAATTCAATTTACCAATATATGTTAACGATACTTTTAATAGTAGAGTCACTTAAGTATTTATAGTTTAGTTACTAACGTCGCATTCTCTCAACGCATCCATGGCGAGTAGGTCATTTCCGTGTCTTAATTGAAAACGAACCATTTCTTCCGCAGCCTAAACAATGAGACATAGAGAAGTAAGTGATGCATGAATAACAAATGAATTTATTGTCTATCTCTGTAAAAAAATTGTAACAATGTCTGAGATGTAAAACTGTCTCTGAATTAAAATTAAGATTCCCTGAGAGAAACTATCAGAAAATTTCAAAGCTAAGGATAGATTTAAATCATTTATTCTATTGTATGGTATCTAAGAGGTGTGAAATGAACTATTCTTTATCAACAGCTGTAAGATTCCATCAACGGAGTCATTGTACTCATGATATTGACCCTGTGAAATTCGATCCAGTTTCTTTGATAAGCAGCTATTACAAATAATAAAAACATAATTAAAGAAATTTAGGTAATCTAATGAGTATCTAAAGTATATTTCCATGATTTGCATAAAAGACAGCAGCTTCTTAAACATGTATACTAGTATCTGTTGAGATAATTTCATGCGCAACCTTTAAAGCTGCATAAACTGATGATCACATTACACTATATCTGGATATAGACTTTACATTCTTTCATAGAAAATAATTAGATTATACAATGTTCTTATACCACACTAATTAATGTCATTGTGCAGTACTGGATGGTAAAAAATAATAAAGTGAAGCAAGCTTTGTGATTGCCATCCCCTTATACAGTATGTGAAATTAATAATGGGAATAACAATTTAGTGTTGCACTTTCACCTTTATAATTTACAACCTCTTGCAGCTTTGAAACCTCACAAATCTGACAGATTACCAGGCATTTATAACATCCCTATTAGAGACAACAGGTGTCATAGGGAAATGGTTTATGTTGGCTCCACTAAACGTTCAATGGGGGTCTGATTACGAGAACATAAATCGGACATACAGCGCAGTAGAAGTACGACTGTTGTCTCCACTTATGTGACGGACCCAAATAAAATATTCTACAGTTCATTAAGAAAAATGGCCCTGTCATTGTATTCAATTACTCAATAATATGTTTTTTAATTTATTGTTTTATCCAAACTGGTCAATAATTGAATCTATAAATTGCTTTCTATTAAATAAAATTCATTATAAATTATAGAAATTTCTAATTTAAGACATTTTTTGGCAAATTTATAACTAATATTAGTTCTTAGAAACATGTAATTGCTGTAGATTTGCTGTATTCTAATGATTTTAAGCATTTTAAATGAAATTCTGAAGAGAATTCTTGAAAATGTAGCTGTTACATTAAGTTATGAAGGTACAGTTATATTATTTTAATGGTATATTAATTAAATAATCATTGTATAATGCTTCAAAATAATGTTTTAATATACCTTACTTAAAACTTACCTTAAGATCATGGTGATCGGAATCTCTTTCCGGGCATTCTTTCAACAACTGCTTAAGAAGAAGAGCATATTTTCCCATTCTTTGTACGGGTTTCAACAGATAACTGGCTAAATCCATTTTGTCGCTAAGTTCAAGTTGCTTTTCCTAAATAATTAGAAGTTGTGTTATTACAATATACGCCACTTTACAAAGATTATAAATGAAATTCCGCACGCTTACCCTGAAAAATGTTGTGCCGTATTCCATCATCAGTCCATCTGACTTTGGTTTGTTTTTATTGTAAAGAGCATATAAATAAAATTGCGATTCCTGTAAAGGCAAACTAATTTTAATCCTTTTTTTTATTACACTATTTTATATACAATAAAATGAATTGCCTTGTTTATATTTTCTAAGAAAATACTATTTTCAAAATAGAATTTCCTGTTTAGTCTGAGGTCATGTATTATTCATCGCTACCTCTTTATAATCTGATATTTGCTCCTTCAAGGACACTTTATGTAACGCGACACTCTAAACTATTGATTGCGTAAGCTTAAAACTTAAGAAAATCATTAAAGTATAATTTAATAAATGTTCCAAGAAAGCAATTTCTAAATTTAGAAATCTTCTTTTTATACAACACTTTAGTTCATTTTGTATTTAGAAGTTGCTTTTAGAGTAAGTTTGTGGATTTAAAAACATAATTACAATTAAATTCCTAGTGAATTTATATGCAAATTCATTCAAGTTTACAACTTCATGTATTGTCATTGCAGGGGTGATGATAAGTGCACAGGTCGCACCTAGCATCATCCCTGTACTGACCCTGCTACACCCAAGACTGCTACATGCACAGGTGAATCTAGCAGTACCCCTGCATAAACCCTTTCTCGAATTTAGCCATACAGGGGTACCCTTAGTTGCTGGCACCCGAATGCTTTCATTACCATACTTCAGTGTTACAGTGTTTAAGCATTTAATTATAATTATAAATGCCTATTTATTAAGAAAACAGCACACTTACATATTTTAAGAAGCATTGTCCAACAGTAAATGGATGGCTTTCACAAGTCTCTATTTCCTGGAGGAAGTATTGTCTGTGAAATTCATAGATTTTCTCTATGTTGCCAAATATACCGTTCCTTTGACCTCTAAGAGCTTGAGGAATATCTTCTCGCAGAAGTTCCGGAACATAATTCTGAAAAAAACATAGTAAATATTTCACTAAATGGACTTAAATATGTTTATATATCGCACTCATCGAGCCCATTAAGAATTATTAATCCTTGTTTATATTTTTCTCTTTTCGCTTACAGTGAAAAGTCTTTATCTCATATAGATTATCACTTAATGATACCTGATAAAATTATATTTTTCTCTCAATAGCTTTATTTATTTTAAAGGAAACTGCTCCATTAACTCATTTGTAGATCCATAAAGAGTGCCACTAAAATAAATTATGGTTTCCTTCCATGTTTTAAAAGGTAAACACGATTAAAAGCTGTGTAAAGAGTTGACTTTTCTGCTTATATCTGGTACATTTAGAAGGTATATAATGCTTAATTAATGATATACTGTGAGATTTTATTGCCTCTATCCTCATAAATGTGTCTAATTGTTTTGTCTTTTGCACCTATCAATATTTTTCTACCTGTGTCATGTCAACTTGTTATGAATTCATGAAGTGTAAGGACAATATACACTTGTTATGCAATTTTTCTGGCTAAGTTGCAACATTTCTGAGGGAAAAATTCTTCAAATTTTAAGTAACTTTTGCACATAAATTATCTTTATGCACAATACATATAGATACTATACTGACTTTAGAGTTGTTATGGTGTTGCTGCAAGTATGCATGTGTAAGTGAAACAATACATTAAAATTTTCCACACAAGCTCGTATTTTGCAGCATTTCTGTGTTAAATGCACTTATATTAAGGATTTTTGAGGTCACTTCATGATACAGGAATTGCAGTTTTCACTTATGTATACTGTACATCATTCATAACCTAGTTTTAAGTCATAGCAACAGGTGGTGGGAAGAGTTACAGCAAGGGTGGTGATGTATGCAAAGAAAAAACTGGATTGTATCATGAGTATGGCATACTTCCTAGCTACAATAATGCTACAAAAACTATGCATGTAAATGCTGTACTTCATAAAATGATCTTGCAGCAAGTTGTACTTCATAATGCATTCTTGCAGCTAACTGTACTTCATAATGCATTCTTGCAGCTAACTGTACTTCGTGAAATATTCCTGCATACGTTATATTCTATAAGAATATAGCATCTGCAATAATACTAGCGTATGCAATACGTACATGATACGAATACAGCATGTGCAAGACTTACAAGACAGGAAGAAGGGTTCAGCTTTAACCTTCAGTTGTCACCATTTTTAAATGCTTCAAGGTGAGCCATACTATAAAATACCAGACGAAATTTGGAATCTTATATCATTTTTAAGACCCAAAATTACAAAAATTAAGTCGACCCCCCTATAACACTGTTGATTTTTCCGTTTTATATGAATTCCATGTTGTACGAGTCACTTAGATTTTACAAATACATGTGCCGTGAACGGCTCATGTATTTGTAAAACCTAAGTGACTCGTACAACATGGAATTCATATAAAACGGAAAAATCAACAGTGTTATACGGGGGTCGACTGGTACTTTGTATCAAGTATTAACAAGGAGTTGTAATTGATATCCCTTCAAGCTCCTGATACAATCAGCAGAAAATTCTTTATCAATATAAACAAAATAATCTGTTTAAAGCGTATCTTTAAAAAAAACAAATAAATGCGTCATAAACTACATTTAAAATTCATAAGAACGAACTTATGAATGGCGATGTTTAATTCGTTTATGCAAAACAGTAACAAGTCTGTTGACACTGACTCGTTTGTAACGTTTTCCTCCCCTCTCGTCGCTTTATTCAAATTTTCTCCTTGACAGCTTACCAGACTAATTACATATTCTTAAGAAGGTTTATTTTCCATTCATAGATATAAACAAGTAAACTTAAGTTTATTTAAAGAAAACGTAACGGGAAGAACGTAATTTGCTTATCTGTCTTATCAGAATATATAACCGTAGACCTTTACACTTTGTACCAGTGGGAAAAAGTAAATGGCAAAATGGTTTCATCTAAACATATTCATAATCTGATCTTTGTTTTCTCGTCGTTTAACATTAAGGGTTGTTTAATATGTATTATTTAACGCTTTCGTTGTGTAATTTTTTGTAGAAATTTAGGCAAAATGCATGGGTATTACTACTGAAACTGAAGAGGGGAATATGTATGTTTTAAAAACGATGAAAATTCATTTTAAAGTTTTCTTGATAAAGAGGAAAACTGCAGAATTCTGTGGAAAAAAATGAAAGGTCACAAGAGATTCTGAAAGGGGAGAAATTGTACAAGAAGTTTGTGAGAATGAGAAGATTGAGCTCCTGAATAAAGGAGAAAGATCCGAAAAATCTGATGAAAAAAAAGAAGAAAGAGCTACTGAAAAACAGGAGATGGACCAGAAGAATTTGATGAAAACAGAAGGAGAATAAGAAGGATCTGGCGAAAACAGGAGGAAGATCAGAAGAATTTGACGAAAACAGGAGGAGGATCAGAAGAATCTGACGAAAACAGGAGGAGGATCAGAAGAATTTGATGAAAACAGAAGGAGAATCTGAAGAAATTGACAAAAAACAAGAGGAAGATCAACAGAAAACAGGAGGAAGGATCAGAAGAAACTGACAAAAACATGAGGAAGATCAAAAGAATTTGAAGAAAACAGGAGGAGGATTAGAAGAAACTGACAAAAACATGAGGAAGATCAGAAGAATTTGACGAAAACAGGAGGAGTATCAGAAGAAACTGACAAAAACATGAGGAAGATCAGAAACAGAAACTGAAAAAAGGTGGAAATTCACGAAAAAAAATGTTCTTAAAGAACAGAAAACTCAAGAGCTGCTGAAAAAAGGAAGAAAATCACAAAAACAGGATCCAAAAAAGGAATAAATCTCACGAAGAAGAGAAAGAATTTCAGAGAAGAAATTTTGGAAGAAAATAATCGATAGAAAAAACTTCTGATATAGGAAAATCTGAGTGAGAGCTCTTAATAACGGATAAATATAATAAAAGTAGAAAGCCAGAATAATCGATTTGCACACGTACAAACTGCGCATACGTATCGAGTGAAATAGGGCAGTGTCCTATGTAAATCGAAGTGGAGACCTCCCACCAGCATCCCTTTTAATCATATAATAAAATATATAACTGCTTTTGAGTAAAAAAAATAAACACAGAAGGAGGAGAAGGTTGGCTACAATAAGGAGGATATATCGAGTGCGTAGGCATACAGGACGTTAACCCTGTATCCAGGATCTATAAGAGGCCATGTTAAGTTAGCTTTTAATTATTCTACATTGATTGTTTCTGAAAAGGAAAGTCGTGTATACATTGATATAAGAGGCCTTTGATAGTCTACAGACGAATTTCAATGTCGTTACTTCGTTAATGAGCTAAACCAGATTGGAGCGTCGTTATAAACGGGATGTAAATTTCGTTTTTTTTTATTATTATATATATATATATAATAGTGTACACGCAGTATTGAAGTACAGGTTTCGTGTTTGTGTAGCTTTAAACTAGCGTAGGGATGCACTTTTTATAAAGAAGGGTGCACTATTGTGAAGAGGAAACTGAGCTGCTGATCTTCTCCCTTAAAAAGCAGCCACTTTAGAAAGAAAAAAAAGGGGGGAGACTCAGAGAAAAAGTCCCTGACAATAGTAAACTTCGGGCTTCTTATATAAGAAAGTTCAAATTTGCATTTTGTTCTTGAATTACGAGCAAAATATAAAGATTTTCACGCGGAAATATTCGTTAAAACAAGCAAAAAGTGCACTGAAAAGAGGGAGAAGGTAGACGTAGTAAAGGATAATGACGTAAGAATTAATGTAATAGCCCTCCCGCCATGTTATCGAGGAGTGCTTAAAGATCTATTTTTGATGCTCAAGGGCCTACTTTTCCTTCTATTTTACAGAAAAATGGATCGAAAGATGAATGGAAATGGGTACAAAGCTTAAATCGAGAAGGTAGTAAATACTGTATAAAGGAAACAGCAGGCTCCAGTATACGAGGGAAAAAAGGGGGCAATATTGAACGAGAAGTTGGGCAATAAATTTGAAAAATGAACAATTAAATCTCGAAATAGAAATTAAACTAAGCATTGGGAGCTATTAAAAAGTGCGTTTTGCTTATTCTTACCAGATGCGATCGTTTGTCAAAGTACAAAGTTCAATGCTACTATAAAGTAAACAGATGTTAAGCTGTGTGAAGTGCAATATAAAGGATATCGCGACATCGAACTCGACAAAGTGTCGTTTTTTTACGAAATATTTTACTAAATTTCAAGAATTCACTTCATTCGCAAGCTTATATGATAATAAATTCGTGTGACCATTCTGTTTGCCGCTCGAACCAGAAAGAGCCGGTAAAAAATGGATAATTTTAGATAATTTTTAAAAAATTTATTTATTTAGTGACTCATTATGATGCCCGTGTAACTGTTTTATTTAGAATTTCATTCTATTTTTGAGAATTAAAAACGGGACAAATCCGGAACGTGTAAATTCACCCTAAAATCTGTATTATCCATTTAAAATCATAGAGAAAATATTAATAAGTGTGGGGAAAATATAGGGAAATATTGATAAATACAGGAAAAAATATAGGGAAATATTGATAAATGCAGGGAAAATATAGGGAAATATTGATAAATGCATGGAAAAATATTGATAAATGCTGGGGAAAATATAGGGAAATATTGTTAAAGGGAAAAATATAGGGAAATATTGATAAATGCATGGAAAAATATTGATAAATGCTGGGGGAAATATAGGGAAATATTGTTAAAGGAAAAAATATAGGGAAATATTGATAAATGCTGGGGAAAATAGTTATAAATATTTCCCTATATTTTCCCTTCATTTAACAATATTTCCCTGCATTTATTAACATTTCCCCATAGTTATAAATATTTCCCTATATGGGGAAATATTAATAAATGTAGGGAAAAATATAGGGAGAATATTGATAAATGTAGGGTGATGTAAAGTAAACTACAATGATAAGAAAAATTTTTTCGGTGTGTAGATGAAACAGGACTTTAATAAATAATATCAGTTGAAACTTATCTTTTTCAGTTTGTTATATAAAGCTATCTGCATTGATAATTAATTACTATCGTAATTTCGAGGGGGAATCCATTAATGAGGGGGAGAAACTAGAAACTTTCTACTTGTAAGCAAAAATTTTGTATAAACAGTTTATGCTAATGAAAGTGTAATGACGGTAGGTCGTCGTTACTGCGAGAAAGAGAGCAGAGAGAGAGGCCCAAAGTTCAGTTAACCTTCTTATTCGATATTATATTTTTATTTATTCCATTAATTTACGATTTATATTCACTGATAAATTTAAATACAAACCGCGGTTAACCGACTTTTAGGCCACCCTCTGTGTGTGACTTTTTTCTAATTAAACACAGGATTAATCATAGATCATCTTAGGAAGATTTCATCATTTCAAATGACCTCATTATAGGGACATTGAAGGAAACATCACACAGATTGATTCCTGCATCCTGAAGGAATAGGATGGAAGAAATTATCTGAAAGATAATGAAGAATAGCTCTTTGAAAATGTTAAATAATTCCCTTCAGACTACGCTAGACTCTTCAGAGAGGGGGTCCTTCATCATACAAGGCATTGTTTTTTACATTCTCTTACGTCAGAAAAACACCAGAGATTACTGGCATTCCCCATTCAAGATTAATGAGCAGAGAAGAATAAATAGGATAATTTTTAAGTTAAACTGTACATAATGAAAGTTGTTCAACTAAATTAAAAGCCATAGAATTTTTCAATTCATTATTAATGCCTTACACCTATGGTGAAAACAGTGAATATACTCTGCCATCTTTCCCCTCGGTGTAGCTTATAATAAATTGGTTTCCCGGGAGAATATGGGTGGAGTCATAGCTCAGCACGATTGGGTGGGGTCACGATAATTCTACTTACCTCGATGATGTATTCTAAAGATTTAACGTAGTCTCTCTCCGTCTGTATCATCTCCCTCATAATCAGCATCAGAGTTCTTTAAAATGGAAAAGAAAAAAAGATGGTAAGATGGGATTTTTACGGCTTTGAAAGTGATGAAAGTGCTTCAAAATGTAGTGGGAATGCTCACTTTTTCGATTTCCCCTTGTCTTCTGCACTGGATATTTCAGAAAGGTCTAAACTGGAAGGTCGTGTCAGGTGACTATTTACAGGTACGGGACTGAAAACCGGACTGGAGTGACGCTGTTCCGGATAATTGATTACTTTTCTATTTTCCGGGCTGCTGCAACAGGGAAGTTTTTCATGAACACACACACTCGCCCCTTTCCGGTGTTGGAATTGTAGGCAAAAAAAAGAAAAAAAATCAAAGTAAAATAGACACTAACTACCTGTTATCGATTGCTTCCTCTTGGTTTTTATCTTTCTGAAGTCTTTTGTTCTGCACTCTCACCTCTTCGGTGACTTTTTCGAGTTCCTCTTCACAGAACTGCCATACTTGCGAGGGGTTGTGCTTCTTCTCTTGTTCTTGAATGCTATTATTGTTGATTTTATCTTCCAACTGCCTGCATTTAATGCTTGTAGGTGTCGTGCTGTGTTGCCCCACTCTTGCCTCTAGAACGGAAGTTGGTATAGAAGCAACCGGACCCTGTGTCGTCAGGTCTTCTGTGATGAGCCCTTGATTAAGAAACTGCTCTTCTTTCTGTTGCAGGTACCAGTTCAACTCTACATCCTGGTTGAGTCTGGGATACATCCCGTTAGTGTATGATAAATACAGTCCAAATGGCGAGCCTGTAGCTATGGAATGTCTTTGATACAGCTGAGAACTGGATAGGGATTGCAAACACGTGACATTCGATTGCGTACCCCAAGGATTCTGTGTACAAGATTTGTGTCTGTACTTCGGTGTTTCCTTCCCTTTCATCTCGCTTTCAAGCTGGTGTTTAGCTTTTAGTAACATCTCTCGTCGTGTTTTCACCAGTTCTGTCGTCACTTGACATCTCGACCGTGCTGTCTGCGTATTCAAAAACAAAAATAAACTTTATATTAAATATAAATATAACCTAATCTCTTACTTTAAATAGGGCAAATCGCCTCTTTTATCGATTATAACCCGAACAATTATCAAGTTTTTATTTTTATTTATCGTAAATTGTTAAATAAATTTCCATCTGTTATCTTCTAGACAAATTCACCTAATAAAGTAACTCATGTTTCGCCCTCAAAACTAACAGAAAAGTTTTATTTCTAGGCTATCAAAACACTCCTACACCCTCGAAAACATCGTAAATTTTCTTGCCTAACCCCCTAAAGCCACAAAGATTTTAATACTATTCTAGTATACGTAACAAAATGGCACCTTGCATTGTTCCAATAAACGTTCGTTGTGAAGATTCTTGGCGATGGCACTCATTTCTTCGAACACCTCATCATTAACGGGTGGATGATTATTTACATAATCTTCCAAATTCTTCACCAACTTCTCCAGATAATCCGGTGTGGATAGCGTGTCCATTTTCATAACAGACACGTACTTCATGGTTTCGAGTGCCCATTCGTAACACTGGAAAGATACTAGTTTTTTATTCACTTTAACCTTAACAAAACACGAGTTTAAGGATCTTAAGAAATGTAATGGCACCTTATCTAATAGGTGGTAACATTTTGCAGTTTCTTCGAACCTCTCTCTTGTGTCTTCTAACCTCTCGTTAAAGTTGTCCAGGTGTTGTCTGAGCGACATTGCCACTTCTTCAATATCGCCTCCATCATCTTTCAAGCTCGATGTGGGTGTCCCTTTGGCCATCACTGTCGCCTCTTTTAGCAGGTCGTTACCCCTTCGTATCTGACGCTAGAAGAAGAGTAATTGTTCATCTTCAACGCTCGTAAATTTGATTTAATGTTTTTTTTTTGCCTCCTCTATTAAGGATTTTTAAGCAAATACACCCCCTTGTTTGTCTCTATATACGCGATCAATGGGTGAGAACTTTGCACGCGTGGGACGGAGAGATGCTCCTAACGAATTTTTAATTTGTCTCCTATTTAACACCCTCCCCCCTTTTTTTGATGTGACTGGTGTATTTGAGAAGCTGCGCATTCCTTAAAAGTGTAGAAGGCGTGCTGAATCTGGCTTTGCTACCCACGTGTCTATGTTCGGCGCCACAAAACCTGACCATTTGTGTACGAGCAAAATCATTACTGTTGATTAGCCTTGACTAGCCCCAAACGGAACATCTGTCCGTTTGGTACCACACTTTAACACTTACACGTTATGGCAACCTCCCGCTAAACCCTCGACTCAGTCCGGGGTGTTACTCCCTTTCCGATGACAGATTTATTCTCTGATCGATGCCACACGAAACGAGTTACAGCAGACCGCTAAAACGGGAGGGTTAGATACGCGCAGGAGGGCAGCTTCTCGCCCCTCTCACGTGACACAGTTTTAAAAACGATCGGGTTAAGCCGACACTGGTTTCGGCACGTTGCGTGCCTGGCCGTATCACGTAAAACTCACCCTTGAAATAATGGAAACTTGAAGAAATTTCTGCATTATTGATCGAACCGCGCGTTATGTACTAAACACACAGGGTTAGGGGATTAAATATATTTTTTAAAAAAATGCCACACCGCTGTATAACCGGCTGCTGATTGAAAGCACTTCCTGCTATCCCGCGTGCCATCATAAAAACTGAGGGGGGTCGACCGGACATCCCTTTGATGCGACCCCCCTCCAGGGAAAGTACGGTTTTTTTTTCGCCATCTGTTTTCTCCCTTTCATCCTCAACCGACAGACATAACTCCCAACTCCTCTCGCGGGATAAGAAAAATGAAAGTGAGAGCTGGCAAAAATCTCTACTTTACACACACCAGCAAAGGCTAAAGGAGCCAGACAGAAATGCAGTAAAACAACAAGAGTGAAAACACAAGGGTCGACTCCCCTCCAACATCTGGAAGGTCAAGGAGATAAATGGAGTCGTTGTGGAGGGAACGTCTCTGGCCCATCTTTTGGGGGAGGGGGGGAAGTTTTATTACAACTTACCTTACACCAGCCCGATCCATCTCGTAAACAATAACAGTTGCGACCGAACACACAACGTAAACACGGCAATTGTATTGTGTAAAGTGAAAACTGGTGAAGACAGGTTGTCACTGTTAGTCACTGAACGCCCATTTTCGACTCCTACGTCAAAGCGGCCCACACTTTTGAATGTAAATATTTTAGAAAGTTATAAATTACCCTTCGCTACTCACCATGGCAAAGAAATAGAACTCTTCGAACTCCTCTTCTCGATTCCTTATGGCTGAAAGTGAATCGGAGAGTTTTTGGTATTGGTTGAGTGATTCTTCCCCCTTCTTGCAAAGCCACGATAATACCTGAAAACGATAGTAAAATTAATCTAGGGATGGAAACACTTCTCATATTATAATGAGCAACGTGCGTGTCAACACGACCACGTGAATTTTTTTGAACTGTTCGTGCCAGGTGACTCAATCTAAATGCACCCCCTTAGCTACACCCCCAATAAAATTACTTAATTTTTTTTTAATTTCTAGGGGCATATACGTTATAAAAATGATCGAATTTCATAACACAGTGACACTACGACACACGAAAGCATGAAATGTCAATTAGTGTGACACTCACCGCGTCAATGTGTGGACTAAGGAAAGAATTTCAGGTGTATCTTCAGAAATATGCCAGGAGAAATGTAGATTTAGGCTGTTAAAACACACGTCAGGGGTAAAGAACCATCGATAAATAGATGAAGACCATAGATCTGGTCTTAACTACTTCATTAACTTCCAACTGGTTTCCTCCTAAGGGCAACAATAATGTCACATAGTGACACAGCGACATGTTGTCCTTGGATATCTCGAAATGTCACTACCGCGTGTTTGATTCCTGAGTTGAAAATCGCATACCAACGTTAATTTTATGTAAAAAATTAAATATAAGAAAAAAAAATCCCTGATAAGTGGGGAAATTCCTTTGTGTAAGCAGCACAATGGGGCAACACAATCTGAACCTCTCGTAAATAAATCAAGAGCCTTAACAACCCAATAAACTTTCCAACGTCCAACTGACCAGATAAGACCACTAATGAAACTAAGGAATCCACTTTACTTTGACCTCATAGATAAGATTCAAAATGAGTTTCTGGGTAGAAAGGAGCGTTTATTGACAGGAAGTATGATTCATGAGTTTTAAGTCCTGTAGTAGGGCGTTTCTTTGTGGCAATATACTAAAGAGATTTCCGAGAAGACGTTCAAGTAAATGCTACAATAAAGTAATCAGAAGTTTGAAATTTGAATTCTTTTGTTGAGGTCATGCCCTACTGTATTCTTTGAAACAGTAAGGATATAATGGATACTGTCCCTTTAAAAAATTCGACGTTATGTGTGTGGCACTTTAAGACATTCTTAATTTTGTTTCAGGTGAAAACTGAGTGAACATTCAATGCAATTCCCGTATTATCTGCAATTTCTAATCTATCTATGATGGATCACCCTTGTTCTGCGCCAGTATATTCAATTTCTAATAAGAATTTGGCCCTTTACTGATCTCCCTAGTGTCCAAACTTACTTGGCATCAATTCGCCAACACGCAATGCCCCGAGAATCACAATAAACTGACATAATTCCTCCAAACCCCCTCTCAGAGCATTCCTCAAAATCCACAATATATGATCCTCGTGAGCACTTCCTAGTGATAACATGAAACTTTATATGGATTCTACTTGCAGCAATTTATATCCCAATCGATTATCCTTCTTCTATTAACGTAAAGTTGTGCCATTCCCTCTACACTCATCAAATGGGGAGGAGCCACTTGCACAATGTCACCTATATACGTATGATCGATCCAGATTACGGTATAAGCTCGTGGCAGGTGTTGAGAATCGGTCGTATGGCATCGATTTGGCCCACCTTTGTCAAAATCTCTTACTCATTTTTCTCTCTTATTACTTTTCGGGGAGTCCAAAAGGGGGGTGGTGGACGGTAAATATGGCAACTTCTACTCGTATATGGGTCAATGTCAATAGTTAGAGAGCCGTTTGTTTGCTGATGGTCTCCCCGTTACCATGGAGATTAGGGGGAGACGGTGTGACGCTACTGCTGCAAGTAAAATCAGGTCAAGTTTGCCGATTTCCCATAATAGATAAAAGGGCATTTTCCCGATTTATAAAGAATTGAAAGTATCGATTCCTCTCTCTGCACTTCCACATTTACTCCACCTTGAAAGGTGTATTAGCCTTATTATTCATTACACCTACAAAAAAAACCACTTAATTTCTTAAGTGTAACTTATAAATTGTTCCTTCTAAGAGGGGGGTGAAGTTGTTCAATTCAAAAATCAAGCGTATTTGAGCCTGTCTATAGACTTGCAACTTTCCACCCTGCCTCAATACGGACCTTCTAACCTTAAATTTACGTAATTCTAAAAGGTTACGCGTATTGTTAATTATAAAAATAGAAAATTTAAATAATATAGTCTTAGTTTGGGCTATAAAATAAAATCTACAGGCCTCCAAACTGAAAATATAAATGCTTCTAATGGCAGTTTACTGCCACACGCAACGATGCTTAGCCGCGCGTGAATATAGATAGCCACATCATAAAAATGGCTTTTAAAACCGGGTGAAGCAACGTAACTCAGCGTAACTTACTTGACTAGATTCCTCGTGAAAGCTTCTGTAACGGATGAATTCTTCCAACTTCTTCAGTCTGCGATCTGCCAATTTAGAAAATTTCCTCATGGTTTTCTTTATTTCTTGATACAAAGATGAGCACTTTTCCAAATTATCCCTTCGGAGGAACACACCACAAGATAAGGAAACCATGCGGAAGGAAGGTGGGAGAAAAAAAAAGAACACGCGAAAGAGGAATATAAAAATAATACCTGTAGTCGACATTATTGGGTGAACTAATCCCATAGGATTTGAGCTCTGCCAAAATGGTCTCCCCCTCATCCTCTAAGTGGCGTAGTTGCTCGTCTTGAAAAGTTTGATTGATGCGATTTCTGTGTTGGTCGACAAGATTTCCTGACAATCCCGAAGACAGATTAACTCCCAACTCTTGCAGCATAGTCACAAGATAATGGCCCGAGAAGCGGCATCCGTTGAGGAAGGGTTCGAAGAACTGAAAGAGTTAAAATGCCCACCCCCCAGTTGTAATGTTTCTGGTGGTGCTGAAAGCCTCTCCAAGTCATAACACCCGCAGTTTTCAACATACCTTAAAAAATCCAATCCATTCTAAGTGATCGTAAACGTAGGAACCCCCAAATTCTTGAAGGAGCTGGTCCTTCTTGACATATATCTCCAACTTATCTTCCTTCCATACTGACTCGAACTGAAAGTATCGAAGAAGAAACTTCAATAATGGCACTTCAGGAACACAATCTTAGATGATTGTTTCCTCACCTTCACCCCACTTGTAGGGAAGGGCTCTTGAAAATGGCACTTCCACAGCAAGACTCTGTACACGGAGCGACTTACGTTCGACTTACGTTACTCTAAAAAACAAGTTCAAATTTAGTACATAAAACTCGAAGGAACTCGGATTTAATGAGATACCCTACCTCCAAAATGGAGAATGCCTCGTCTAACAGAGGCCAGTGAGCTTCAGTCGCTTCTCTACCGTCAACTAACACCAAGAATCCATCAGATACGTCGTCCCTCCTATGAGAAAATGGGATCATTGGTGGTGCAACTATAACACCCCACCTTATCTATAGTTAAAAGTCTACTTATTGTACTTACTTGGGTATGCCATAGAAGTACATGAGAAGTTGAGCCAGGCGACGGGGTGAGGTGCCTTTCAACTTGGAGATGAAGATAACTACAACACTTCTCCCCGAAGTGTCGCGGCAACCTGAAAAGCGCAATTGAAGTGGGTCAGCCACGTATAGGGAAGGTCGAGTTTGCTTTATCTTACGAAAGGTGTCCTCGCGCCGTGCACAGGTATGCACTCCATTTATGGAATGTATTAAAAAAAACAACGAGTATTGCACCATTCCAGATATCCCGTATGTACTCTAAATTTTGCTGAGTCTTCTGTTTTTCTGGTGTCATCGGCGGCAGTGACACATAGGCAGTGAGATCGAATAGGTTACAATGATATAATGGACACTTGTTAGGTTGTAAGTGATTTTACCATCAGGAAATGGGGGTTCAGATTCTATCTGGATGATTTACGACCGATTTTTATTGGTTCCTAAAGTATTTTCCTGATTCTCTTTTTCGGTATCTCCCCAAAAAGTTAAACTCTACCACCCCCCAACGAATGGAAACGAGCGAAAGTAGAACTACCTGGATACTCAAGGACAAAATCTGAGGAAAGAAGTTTAAGATCTGTGTTGTTTTCAACACGATTTAAGGAAGTACGGTCGCTAAAATCAACCCTAAATTTACCCTATTTTTATTTGTAAGGTATAAAACCCACCTTAACACAAAAATTTCAATTCAAATTGCCTAAATATTTCGGTTCTGAGAGCTTCCATTATTCCACTTTCATACCACTCTTGAGCTCAAGTGATTCTATCCTGATTAAGGATAGAATAAGGATTGATGGAGTAAGGCAATCAACTAAGGGAGTAGCCTCCTTAGAAGACTTCCTACTAAACTCGAAAAAATTCACGTGGAGAGGCACAAAGTGTATTAAACTTATACACTAGCGGGCACAGAAGAGCCGAAGTGTGCCATAAGAAGGATGGACAGATTCGAACTTAACTGTTTTCTAGTGTTTGTTTATGGAAAAATTCCGCAAATTATCATGAAAAACCGTGTTAGAGCACTGAAAACACGAGTTACCCACCTCCCATTTTCGCACAGGATCTCTCGATGGCATCAGACAGGTAAAATCATTATCAAGGATATCCGGCACATGACGTCACACGAGTTAAACTGTTAAACCGTCACAGGAAACGAAGGGGTCCATGTCCTCTAATCGACGCCGCGTCATCCCGAAGAAGCGCAGGATATACGAGCGTGCAACACGGTACCACTCGATCCTTTCGGAACAATTGAGAAGGGTGGGGGTGGGCGAAGAAGCAACGCGTTGAAACTCACCTGGTAGCAGCACGAGGCGAGAATGCAATAACTCTTGATCCAGGTCGCTAAGCGAGGGTGATGAGCAATCGTTATTGTCACAGAATCCGTCGTCTGCACTTTCGGCGCTGGCAATTTTGTTCCAGATGTTGTCCGAGTCACCCACATCCGCTTCTGCAAGAGGAAGCAATTTGTTAAATTGTTAATCCGATACTAGGAGCGGGAGGAGGAGGAGGAGGAGAGGAGAGGAATATGGCCGCGTTACGCTCGTTTCGTCGTAACGCAATGCCCACCGCCCTTTCCCGAATATCGGAGTAACGTGGCACAGAAACCCCAGATTACGTGACTTTTGTAATATAACGTGTAACCGGGTATTACAATAACCGTCTCCATTACGAAGATCGTGTGACTATCGAAATCGCGTCACGTGATCGGTTGTTTATTGTCTTATCTCGGCTAAATATTGTTATCGAGAAGCTTTACGTTTCCTGAGTTCAGGGTCCTCTGCAGGAGTCGTAAAGAAGAAGTTATTCCCCAGAGGGGCTCCTTAACCCTCCTAAGTCCAATTACAATGAGGCAAGCAGTGAGAGTTCTGTCCAGTAACCTGCAGGGCAGGAAACAGGTAACACATATCTTAGCGGTGATTCACGCCGCTTCTTTTCTTGCCTGACGAATTTTTTTTTATTTTTATTTTTTTTTTCTTACTTGGTGCAAGTTTCACACAGCCGCATTGCGAGTCCTCCCCTAGAGTGAGAATGAATCGGAAGAGGGGGGTGAAATGCTTCATCCAATCAAAGATGAAGGAGGACCGGTAAGATATGAACCGCTAACGTGATTAAATGAGGATGCCGACGGTCACGTGACATCCGGTTACTGGGGTATAATAACACAGTAGCAGAAATTCGCATCACGTGACGAATGCGAGATTTCTTCTACCATGACCAGTGCGACGATGAAGTACACTTTATAAATGAAATTTGGACCTCTCCCCCACAGTGAAAGCGCGAAAAGTCCTTCGTGAAACTTTTAAATTGATTAATTACCGGTATGACTCACCTAGGTTGAACTCTTCCGGCCTGGCTAGGGGTGCAAGTATCCTTTGCTTCTCCTCCCCGCATTCACGAACCTGAGCTTCTACCATAGTGGCTCGTATACGATGCCAAGGCGTTTCGGCCGGATGCCACTTCAGACGTTCGACGCCCTTCTCCGCAGAGACCAGAAGACAGCGCAGGACGGACGTCAACTGTTGGTCTGAAAGCCACTCCATGGGAAACAGGGGTGCATGGATGCCAATTCTGCCCACGTGCGTCTCCGTCTTGTACTGAGCGCTGAGTAGGATCGAGCGCCCAACCCGGTGCACGCACAGATAAAAGTCTCCGGGTTTCAGCACGTGATCATCGAGCTCCCCTAGTTGCACCACCACTCGTTTTGCGTGGCACAGTGGCCAACTTACCTGCAATACACGAAAATATTGAATTAGAATCTTATAGATAAAAGATGCGATTACTGCTCCAATTCCGGAGTGACCATAACATCAGAATAATAATATAGAAGTTACGCCGGAGTGATTCATTAAATTTCTAACTGAACAAAGCCGGATATCGATATAGTGTCAAACGGATAACACGTAACCATTACATAGAAACAACAATCGGAAACACCATATGTCATAATCGCTGTGACTGTAAACTTCTATGGAATAAAATGCCACTGCTTCATATAACAGCCAAAACATATAAGCAATAAGTAAAGTAACAATTCGAAATAACGCTTCACAGAAAAGAAACCCCATTTTAACGTCGTCATAATGCGGTTTTATTCCGTTAAAGTAACAGTAAGAAAGGGAGTGGGTTCGGTTCCCGCAGAAATGCATCGAGTTTTATATGTATGATGACCGAGTAACAGTCGAAACCGGAGGGGGGAGAGTCGCATCGTGGCGCCAAGACCACCGCCGAGTTACCACCACACGTGACGCTCTTAACAGATTCACACCTAATGTGTGCCCGTGGCTCGAGACCTCCTCGGCGTTACTCTGGTTAATACCGTAACGACGTGCGAGGAACGAGTAATATTTAATCACCTGACGCACGTGCTTACCTCTAGGGAGAAGCGTAACTGTTATCCACAACGTACGTCCTCATCACACCAGGGATAAGTAAAGGCTGCACACCCATGGGAAAAGTGCCGCTGAACTGGCAGCATGCAATACGCCCTCTAGCGGTGGTGCAGCTAGACCAATGGGAAGAGGCAGCATCCTCCAGCAGCGCCGGTAGTGTTTGTGTTTGCTTGTGTGCGAACGGGCCCTGAAAAGCCCTTACTTAAGGTAACTATACGAATTCTTTCGTACCTTTGACTTCTCTCCCCCCCCCGCTGCGGGGTTGAAGTGGAATTAATACTACATTAATATTACATGCAGATAGGGGTGGAGATGAAAAACAACCGTTCCCACCCTTTATTGTCGCTAGGTAGATAGTGTTAAATATAAACTGATAGCAGTGTCGTCTATAAGACTCGGAAGCACGTAAATACTAGTGTTGTGGTACACGGAGATAAGGCAAATCAATCAATTGGGGGAGGGGGGAAGCTTTTAAGTAATACGCAGAAAATTCTAGTGTCTTACGCGTTTCTCTCTACTGACAGCAGAATTAAAGCTAAAGTCAATAGACGACCCACCCATTCTGCTGTATAGTCACTATGGCAACCGTGGAAACAAAAGGGTTATGGTCAGTGGGAAAGAGTGTCAAGGGTGTCTAGGGAGCTTCCTGGTGTTGAAAGTACTTCCTTTTATACAACACTCTAACGGTAAAACCCTTAAAGGGCACGGTATATCGAAGTATATTAATATAGAGAAGCTCAGTGAAATGAGGCTATGTGTGTGTGTGTGTGTGTACTTCCGCTCGTTGCATACGAAACCCCCCTCGAAAGAATTCAACTTTAAGACATTCCAAAGAGTTCAATATCAGGAGCGACAAGCACTCCACCCTGTGACGACACAGGAAGTGACGTCGCGTGATAGAGATCCGGGAGAAGTCGTCTCCTTCATTAGAAATCTGTCGAAGTCCTGACCGCGGCCTCAAGGGGCCTTCTTTTCTTGTCTCTCAACTTTTAGGTATGCGAGAGTGGATGCACCTGCTGCTGTATGGGGTTCGCTTTGCTTCTCTAAATTAACTTTACGGTCCACCCCGTGACGTAATCCCCGTCGCCACCCTAAAAATTGATTATGGACCCACCGCCTGACGTCATACACTTCAGGCACGTTCCACTTTCTTCTTCCGTATTTAATGACGTTTCGTTTTGTGGTTCGAGGGCTTCCTTCTCGCAGCCTTAACACAAATATTGCTTTTATTATTATTATTATTATTATTCAAGATTTGGAGCATCTCTTGAGGCAATTGAGGAAGTTAACATTTATTTAAATGACATTTATTTAAATGTGTAATTGGCAGGAACACCCCACCAAAGTCTCGAGACCAGCACAGAGGTGTTGGCTTGTATAACACGGTTTAACACTGAAACTGAGTGTCACCCCAAAGCCAGTAACAACAAATAAACACCAGGAGCATCACCAGAAATTATAGCAGTGAGGGATGCACCCCCAATTGAAAGTAAAAGTACATTTCTATGTTCTAGTAACCAACATAAAGGGCTGGGGGGTGGGTGTCTTCTGTAATCCGCCCGCATAGGTTAAAGAGGGAGTTACCGAATCGTATGAGGTCTCCACCCTCTTTGCTTTTTTTCTCTAAATTACATCAGCTTGGCTGCTGCACGTGAAGGGGTCAACGACTGATCTAGTGGAAGAGTTAAGAGTAGTAGAAATCCCTTGGCAGAGCGGGCCACTTGTCAAATCTGTCGTCGCTTCTCGAATGACTTGTTTCCTTCGTCCAAACCGGAATTTACACTCAGCTGCTGTGTTACTCTTATGATTTATGCCGTGGATCCCTCCAGGGCTCGTTACCATGCGGTTAGATTAGCATCAGTTAGGAAGAGAAGAGGAGGATCTTCCTCGTTCCGAACCCTTCCAACAGATAGACCCTTCTTCCATTAAACTAACCCTTCTAACGTGTACCCTCGTAAGACAATTGAGTGATAAACAAGCTGGGAAACTGAGAAAATCCTCCTAAAATAAGGATGTTTAATCGTATTGTTGACGGAGTGTATCCTAATGTGAGCTATTCTAAGGTATCTTGGTATGTAGGATACCCAGATAGATAAGCTTAAAAGTATTTAGGGGGATGGATCTAAAATTTTTAAGTATTTGGCTACTAAAAACTGGAATATCCTACTAGAATACAATACTACTAAATTTAGTGAATCCTAATTTTCTCCCAAATCCAAAAATACACCCATAATATGAGTCCCTAAATCCCTTGTTTAGACACCTTTAAATCACAGGATTTGTCACCCCTTTTCTTCAATTGTAAGGTAGGGGGTGCCTATAGAAAATCCTTGTATACGTTTTGTCCTAAGGTTACAAAGGGTTAAACCATCATTTATTTAAGAGAAACAAGTAACAATTCACGAGACTCGTTACAAAAGGGGGTGCATTTTAACGAGGAGCTGGCAGACTTGGCATAATAAAAACCGCAAATAACCCGCAAAGTGAGACGTGCCAACGTTGCGACAGCAGCTTCGTTTAAAGAGCACCACCCAACGAAATAATAGAAGGGGGCAAAGCTATTGTCCTATCCGAAATCGAATCAATTTTGGATGATCAGCGGAGCGTTGGTGCTACTTTTGTTCGATAGAAGGCTGCGGAAGAGGCTCATTAATACGGGGCAAAGGACAACAAGGGCTCTTCTCCCTTAATCGACGAATCAATCCGTGAGAACGTCCATCAGCGGGATTGTTTTTGAACTCGAACCCATCACGCGAAACGGGATCATTACTCAGTCACGCCAAATTCGATTTACATCTAAATTGGGACCTCCTCGACCAAAATCTTCCTCCCCCCGTCACCTAAAGAACGTTATTGATTCTGATGAGTACCCATTCTGAAGTCGAGCGCCACTTATGCAAATGAGTTTACACTCGAATCTAAGCGTTTTCTGACAAGCCCTGAAGACCCCTACTTTAGGGAGCTTCATGCAATACGTATAAGAATATGTTTCGGCTTGATATAACCTTACAAATTCGATTCACCCTTAATATATTTATCACAAACGAGCTTAATTGTGGTCCTGTGTATAAACTGGCATGTTATTTTTTTACTGGGTCATAAAGCAGCACGCATGAATTTACTTCATGAACATCGATTGAAGAACCATAAAATTGTAAGGGAACCCAAAACAATGAGTAACAGCAGCGATTAGTTCAATTAAATACCTTTCTTTCCTCGGAACAAGCTCACGTTTCCATGGGGTGTTCACGTGACCAGTGTAGAGGCAAACAGGGTGAACATCTGACGAAGGTGGGTGACCTTGTCGCAGTTCGGCAAGCCGACTAACGATCTCTGGACGTATTTTTAAAAAACAAATCCTCTCGTCGCGCGGCACACAAGGAGCAAATACATTTGGCAGAAAGGGGAAACGCTCCGCACGTGATCGTAACAGCACAAGCACGCGGGTCACGTGATGGCAGCGGTACACCTATCAAGATGAGTCGAGTGGTAGAGCCGAGGGTTGGTTAACCTACCTTCCTCCAACTGGTAAGCAAAGCAAACTCGATTCTCGGTTTTTGATAAATGGGTTGTGGGTTCACCTGTCCGTTTGTTTATCTCATTTGGTTGTTTATCTGATCGTCTCCCCTTCTATATTTATTGTTCCTCCCCCCGGCTCTACTGTCTTTATTATTGTTATACTTGCCGAGTTCTTTTCCAATGGAAACAAGTGAAACAATCTGAATAATGGCCCGGTATAAAGAGAAATCGATAACAATATAGGTAGAAGGGACCGTCTTGATGTTCCATTCAACGACACTCACGTGCAGACTTTTATACCCCCGCTTTACGGTATAAAATCTCTCGTACATGAAGTATTCATGACGTATCAAAAGTGCACAGATGAGGAAAGCGGTATTTTAATCCATTTTCTTAATGGGGGTCTCGTACTTTTGAAAAATCTCGGTTAAAATTTTAAATGAAAACAATTGTATTTTCCCCTTGAAAATTAAGTAAACGGTTCGGGAATTGCCAAAATTATTATTTTCTGTGGAGTAAAATTTCGGTTCGTGTACAATTGACAATGGATTCATTGCCGATAATGGGGATTTATCTGATTACAAAATTGAAAACGAGAACTTCTTGATGCTTTCTTTAAAAAATCCTCATGCTTTCATAGGGAAAAAACTTCGTGCTTTCATAGGGGAAAAACGTCGTGCTTTCATAGGAAAAAACTCATGCTTTCATAGGAAAAAACTCATGCTTTCATAGGGAAAAATCCTCGTGGTTTTATAGGGAAAAATCAAAACATTTATATGACGAAAAGAAAATATCCTCATGCTTTCATAGGGAAAAAA